AAATTATACAATCTAATTTAGATTAAAAACTGCTCATGTTGCATGTATGGTTTGGTTGCCTCTAATTTTAAATGTTAAGAGCACAGACCAAGCCTTATTTTGTTTATAAGAAGAGATTTATTTGATTTGTGTTACTTATATATTTGATTTGGGGCTTGGTTTAAAATTTCAATGTAGTTTTGTTATTTACATTATATTTAAATCTAGTTATTTAGCAGATGCTTTTATCCGAAGTGACTTACAAATGAGGACAATAGAAGCAATCAAAACTAACAAAAGAGCAATAATATGCAAGTGCTATATTAGTATATTATTATAGTGTTATATTTCAATTTCACAGAGAAATGTGCAGCATTTTGTCCAAGCAATAATAAAAGGACACATTTAATGTATAATTGGTCTTAAATCTCATTTGGTTAAAAAAATAATAATAATCGTGAATCTAATCGTTACATCGCTAAACACCATTAACCTGCCAATATCTGGCCGTTTTAAACTTACATACATCATCTAATCATTGTAAAACTGGTCAACCTGCCCAATACCGCTGCCAAACCTCGATAGCCTTATCAATCAATAAATGCACAACACACATTTAATCGCGAGTAGAAATCTTACGTAACATCATAAATGTCTTAACTGTCACTTTTGATCAGTTTAATATATCCTCGCTGAATGGAAGTGCTACTTAAAAACATAGCACAGATCTCAATCTTCTGAATGGTTGCACATCACCGTTTTCACTCAAATATTAAGCAGCAAATAAGCCCTTGTAATAATATACACGACGAGCGATCAAAAGTTTGGGGGTTTTTGTGGAAACTACTTACAGAAATGAATACTTCTATTCAGCAAGGATGCATTAAAATGACCAAAAGTGACTGCAAAGACATTTATAATATTACAAAAGCTTTCCTTTTGAGCTAAATGCTGTTCTTTTGAACATTCAGACACCTGAAAAATAAGATCAACTTATGAAATCAGCATATTACAATGATTTCTGAAGACTGGAGTAATGATGCTGAAAATTCAGATTTGATCACAAGAATAAATTACATTCTAAAATACATCAAAACAGAAAACTGCAATAACATGTCACACTTTTTTTCACTGCATTTCTGTTCAAATGAATGCAACATTAGTTCTTTCAAAAACAAACTCATTCCAAACGTTTGTGGGGGTTTTCTCTCATTAGCAATAATGCAGCATGGCCAGGGAAGCCTGAAGCACAACACAGAACTCATCTGACCAGGTTTCCATACACCAAACCAGCACGCACTTTCTGTTTCTATATGCAATAGCTGATAAGTGCCACGCGCAGGTATGCATATAAAGCATGCGCATGCCATCAGGTCGATCTGATGGACGGAAACACAATAAATCTTACTTCTCATATGAACCTGTGCTGTTGACCCGAGAGCAGAGGCTCAACATTCATTTCCATGCGCACTGCATTTCATCGACACCCCGAGGTACTTCTAATAATAACGTTACAGCCGTGCACGTCCAGAAAGATGGTGTTTTAGTGGAAATGAGAACAATTCCACTCATGGGCAGCAATGCAGTGGGTTTCAAAACAGCAGAGTAATATAGATGGCAGTCAAACCCGTGAGCGAGGCCCAGAGCTAAAACACGCCGTCGCACTGATCACTCCAACCGATTATGACACCAATAACTATATCCAATAGCGATAAACGAGCAGCTATGTTTCACATAACGTCTGCCGCGAGACATGAAGCCCATGTGGGCTGAGTTTCGTGGCCGGCCTCCATTCATCACAGCGGGAGCTGCTGCGTGGCCTACCCCCGCTCGGTGTCCCGCAAACCCGCGCCTCCCCGCTCCTCTCACGCGGCCTTCCTTACCCTCTCCCCCCGCCGAAGCTCCCGTAAGCCCGGTCCCGGTCCTCGTAGTTATCGTAATCCGCCATTGACGAAGATGCTGTCCAGAGAAAGCAGCAGTCTGTCGCTGAAGGACCCCACAATATACGGCTGCGAGCTTTAGCTGCCCTCTGCGTGCCTGAGACGTCGCCAGTTGGAGGTTTATAAAATACATCCGAGAAGGGAAAGAGTAAATAGGTTTAAAATGTCAAAGTATGACGGACGTATATTTACATTGGAGTCTGTATGCAAAAACACATTTTTGATGTGAGTAATGGACGATTTTTTCAACCGGGCAAAGGCGAGGAGACTCGAGATGCGATTGAACGAGTTAGTAACCATAGGCATATAAATGCAGTATTTTATATGTCTATGTTAGTAACTGCTAACTCTTTTTGGAGGAACGCATCGGTTTTCACCAAAAAGATTCATTCACTGAGCCGTTCTGTTCTTGCGCCGTATATACGCGATAGGCGAGTGAATCTGTGAGTAGCCAGCGAATCGATCCGATTAATCGGTGTTCGACTGGATCCAGGAACGATAGTGACATAATTACTTATATTTCGCAAATCTTAGTTGCGCGTGTTTTGCTTTGAGGATGTTACCATAGCCGTTAGATTGGCTGATTGAGTGATCGATTATTTATTTAAAGCCACCTTGTAGCCTTAAAGGGATAGTTCACCCAAAAATGAAAATGCGGTCATCATTTACTCACCCGCATGTCGCTCCAGACCTGTACCAGTTGCTTTCTTATGTTGAACACAAAAGAAGATATTTTGAAGATTGCTGGTAATCAAACATTTGGTGGTTGCCGTTGACTTGATGTGATGAACTCCGTTACTTGTGTTTGTTTGCAGACATGATAACAGACGTTTATACTTGTGCTACAACTGTTTGGCCTGCGCTACAAAACTTTCAACCTCTGTAGCACCAGTGCTATGTGCAAAAAAAAAAGTTAACGTACAGCCCTGAAATGTAATCACTATTTGGCATTTCATTGCCAATCAAATCAAATCAAATAATAAAATAAAAAACGTGTCCTGTAGTGTGACCTATGAGTTTTTTTATTTAGTTAGTTTTTTACAGATATTCCATATATTTCACAATTCATATAAACCAATTAAGTGCAATACTTATATGAGGATTAGAAACAATGCTGAAATAGTTTTAAGAATAAGCATGGCATGCCACACTGTAGGACATTGGTATTGTAAATAATAAAAAAAAAAAAAAAAGACTAATTATGTTTCAATAGACCACATTTGCTGGAAATACATCAGCAGCAGCAAGATGTGGGAAGGGAAAGGATCTTTGAAGGGACCCGCTGTGAAGACAGCCTTCCAGTCGCTGTGAAATTCACAGCTAAGACGGAGAACGAGCCGTACATCGGCCTTGTAAGTAGACTGTGATGATCATCTCCTCTCATCGCAGTTTATAACATCTTAGATTAATACAAATGACAGAGTCCAAGTGTTTCAATAGAAACAGTCAGACAGAGAAACCACTTCCATCTAATCATCACTTTTTTCTAGCCTGACCATCCCAGACCAGGTCCTCTTGAGGTGGCTCTGACAGTCATGGACAACCAAGGCCCCCGCTGTGGCCACATCATAAAGGTGCTGGACTGGCACCTTTACATCATGGTCCTAGAGCGCCCCTCGCCCTGCGTGGACATGCATTATATTTGGGAGCATCCCGGCGGCCTCTTCAGAGAGGATTTGGCGCTCTATTTCATGTGGCAGGTGATCGCCACTGCTGCCGTGTGCTGTTCCCGGGAGGTCTTCCATCGGGACATCAAGATGCCCAACCTGGTCAGCACGGAGACCCTGGAGGTCAACTTGATCGATTTCGGCTGTGGAGACCTCTTGAAAAGCTCATCCTACATCACTTACAGTGGTGGAAAGAGTACTGAAAAAATATACTCAAGTAAAAGTACCATTACCTTCCAAAAAATGTAGTGCGAGTAGAGTAAAAGTACTTGTCCAAAAAACGACTTGAGTAAGAGTAAAAGAGTAGCCTATTTAAAAGTACTCATGAGTATTGAGTAG